TAATACATGGCACGATACTCTCATGATGTTTAATATCGTGACTATCAATAGCTATGTGTTATAAAAAATAATTTGCCAGCTATCAAAATACATGTACATCATTGAATGAAATCTTAATATTATACACCACTTTAATATTTGCTATTGTACTTAATCAGGTTTAGATGAAAAATAACAGTTTCGAAGAAAGAACGTGAGTAATTCCCTTAAATTTTCTTTGTTTCAAAGGTAAGAGTCATTAGGCGTAAAAACGGTGTCTTGAAAAGCATTAAAATATATTTTATAAATTAACTAATACTAAGATTAGTCATGCCCTCAGTTAATTAGGCGTTAAATATCTAGTACTGTGCAATATCATAGACTGTGGCGAAATATTTTTCAAATTTACGTTGCTCCTGCTTGATCTGGAGGCAAATGTAATCTGTCTGCAAGAGGTTTAACATACACCCAACCACCATCTTTAATTTCCTTAAATAGCTGTTTAAAGAAAAGAATATTACATTATTATCGTATATTATCGTCTTCCTGTAGATACAGATAAAAAGGCAGTATTAACTTTGAAAAATGTATACCTTGGTTTGCCAATTTATGTTATTTTCTTTCCTATTTCGCGCTTCATCACGTTGTCTCTGCTCAATTGTACACTTAGCTGCAGTAGCTTTTTCCATATCGTTGATCCTTAATCCAACAGTTACATCTCGCCAAACTTTTCGCGATTCATGTTCTTCTTGTTCACAAACTGGTATCACTAATTTCTTTTGAGTCTGAAGTTCTCTAACATCTGCAAATATTTCAGTTCTCTGAAAAGATAAAGTTTATTATATGAAGCAGTAAACATTTTGAATTACCATTTTGCCTCTACCGAGCGTAACCACTACTGTTATTTAGGAGGAAACTGTTAAAGTTCTTTTAGATATACTACAGTCATAATAAAAATTTAAATTTTCAGTAGGTAAAGTATTAAGATTGTTTGAGAATTAAAAAACTACTTTCACACTTACGCCATCAGCCCATTTTGCCTCCATAGCACCACTCCACTCTCCATTTATAGAAAGAAATGGTTTCTTATCTCCTGGTTGTGTAATTTGACATGTAATACGATTACGTTTTCCACCGTAGAAAGGTTTTGTTAAGAATTCTACAGTAGCATGGAAGCCAGTTTGTGGGCAATGTATAGTCGCAGTTCCCCCTAATTCTATCCATGGTACAGTAAGAATAGATCTACCATAACCATTTGGAAAAGTTAAAACATATTCTTCTCCATATTGTAATACATTCACCCAACCCTTTCCTACATTGTGTACTCCTATACTTAATCCAAGAAATTTACTTTTTGTCCATACATGTGCTCCAAAGCTAATTTGCTTTGTATAATGTTCAGCATAGAATGCGCTTACTACATGAATAAAATACCGATTTAATTAAACGTGACTTTAAAATTAAAAACTTAAGAAATAAAAAAGCTTACTCGGTGGATGATGGGAAACTTGTTCAGCCACAAATGAAAGTTGATTCTCTCTACACCAAGGTACAGGACCTTCAGCAACTAATTTTGAATCATTTGTACTATCTACAACATCATTGGGAATATCCCAATGACATCTAAAAATTTCACCTAATATCGGATTATATGGTTTCTTAGCTACGCCTGACTTGCGACCTGCATGGAAGCTGCATAAGTACCAACGAACTACTTGAACCATTCTATCTCTTGGGGTAGTCATATCTGCTATGCTAAAAAATATCAAACAATACAATTTTATAACAAACTACCAATACATGAGATACATTTTAAATAATATTTCTTTCATATCATATACCTTATGAACTGATCTGGGTGGGTAAAGTAATCTGCGTACATTTCCAAAAGTGACCTGCGTTCCAAAATAAATGTGGGTAATGCCACTTTTGTCAAATCCATGCCAATCTTTACTTGCGATAAAAGATGGGTTACAACTGAACCATGAGATTCCATAGAATCCACTGAAAAGGGGTGCACACATCAGGTTAAGTAAACACACATTATTTGCATATTTTATTCTATTTTTTCATAACTTTATTGTGTGTTTGTATGTGTAATATGTACGTGTGTATGTATATATGTATCAATAGAATAATTACTAACTTTCTGTTTCGCTTTCCTCCTCGTAAAGAGCTATAACAGAACATAATCGTAAGAGTTAATAATTAATAACAGATAAGTTAATATTTTATAACGATTATATACTGTATATCTTATTTATTTACAAAAATCAAATAGTTCTAAAGAATCTTCAAAGTTTGTACGAGTTGACAGAATGGTTACATTTTTTTATAATCTAAAGACTTACTTCTTGAATCTGCGTGCAGCATATTGTTTTTTTATAAAATACCAAGTAATATCCATTCCTAAATATTTTCACTATATGAAAAATAAACTACACATAACATAAAAATCTTCTTCTGAGGAATAACATCCACAGAAAGGAAGGAAACATTAAAATTTGATAAAATCTTTTTGCCTGTGAATTCGTCATATTACCAGACATTCAGGTTTAACTTTAAGTAAAAATTCGATGACTATTTTACGATAACGTTACTTTAACACGATAATTCACGTGTTGTGTAAGATGCTCTCTAAAATCAATAGTTTTAGTTGCGGGTAAAGTCGAATGGTGCAAACCTGCATTATCGATATCTGCGAATGCACTTAGTTTCGGACATTAATTTTTTCGACAATTTATATCAAAATTTGAAATATCGAGACGTGGATAAATTTTAATATAAATTTCGGGAAAGACTATCAACTCCACGCGTAAGAATTTGATCTATATGAACGTATCCCAATTTAGTTTTACTAATCTAAATATATGTATACTCATTTTATTTTAGTCACTCA